GATTTTTTTTTAAGTACAATTTACAAAGGTGCTTCAGAAAGTTTTTGTGAAAATGAAATTAGAGAATAGTGGCATTTTTCTAAGAACCCTTGAAGTCCCTCATGCATAACATAAAGTCATGCATGGTAAGGGTACATTTTCATAACTTCAGGTATGTTTAAACAGCTTTGTAATAATCACCACAATCTACTTGTAGAACATTCCAATAATTTGCAGGAAGTCCACGTTCCCCTTCTTAGGCTTGGGTAACCACTAACCTGACTCAATCTCTAAAATTGCTTATTCTTCCCATTTCATATGAGTGGAACCACACGCGCCTGCTGCCTAATCTTATCGCAGTGATTCTGAGGTGGGTAATGGAGTAGGATATATGCAGCAGTAGTTCACTGCTTTTCGTTTCTGAACAATATTCCATTGGTGGATTTTTTACAATCCATTCAGCAGTTGATGAATATTTGGATAATTTCCAGATTTGGGTGGTTAATAATTAATAATTAATGCTCGATGAGCATTTGCCTACAAGTCTTGGCAAAGATGTCCATTTTCACTTCTCTTGGTGTTGGGTACAGAAAGGTAGTCCTTTCCTCATGATTCCCATGCCTTCACAGAGAGCTAGCAGTTCATGTATTAAGTTAGAATGTGATTTTATCTGGATAGATTTCAGATTGCATACTCAGTTTACTTAAAGGCTGCAATCTGTCTATTCACTGGAAGCCTCTGTAACTTCTTCATGTGTCAGATTTACTATCAGAATTTCTAGAATGTGAAAAAATGTGTGAAGTATTATTTCACTTCATCATGACAACCAAAATTTCAAATGAAACGTTAGCTAAATTTCCGTGCATTTCGAAGGGTTACTAAATTTGGTTGAAGTTGTTCATTAGGCAAGTTATTGTCAAACCTGAAAAAGTAACACAAAACTCAAGCAGTTCCGTTAAAACTTGAGCTTTCTTTATTTGACTTACCATTTCTGTGGGGGTTCACTCCTCCCTCTCCTTGTGAGAAGTAGAATTTAAATGGCCTCAGGTGATCACCTAAGAAGATAGAGAGGGGGTTGTGTAAACATGTGTAGTATATAGAGGTGGGTTAGAGGTAAATTTACTAATTACTATACAAAAGGGAAGGAGCCTGGTAGTGTAGTGGTTATGCACTGGGATGCTATCATAAGGTCAGCAGCTCAAACCCACCAGCTACTCCATGAGAGAAAGAGTTGGCTTTCTACTCCTGTAAAGAGTGGCAGTCTCAGAAACCCAAAGGGGCAGTTAATTCTACTCTGTCAGATATGGTCAGTATCTTTCAGAATTGACCTAATACCTATGAGTTTGGGTTTTTTTATACACAAGCAAAGATGTTTCCATTCTTTCAGAAAAAAAAGTAATTTCTTTGCACCTGACTTTTGTATCAGTGATCCTAATGTGTCCCAGGCTCTATTCCAGGCATATTATCTCATTTGAACCTTAATCAAAACCTGAGATAAGGAAATTGTGCCTCTGAGAAGTATGTGTGTCCAAGGACATGTCACCAGGAGTGAACATGGTCCTTTTGATTCTTCCACGTCTTTTTTTTCACCCTCGGCATCCTGAGATGGTTTATGTCAGGAGAATACTTTCAGAACTCTAGTCAACCTGTTCATGTTATTTGTCCCAACCTTTCTTTCCATATTCACTGTTCAGGCAAGAATATAGACCTTCGAATTCCCTTTCCCTTTGCAACACATCTGATTCATTACAATTTCTCCTCTGACTGGTCCACCTTCCTTTCTACCCATGCATTTGTCTTCTTAAAGCACACACCTCATCGTGTCATAAAGTCTTCACCACGCCCTGCTGATGTATTCTTTTATGTTTACAACTACTATAAATACAAAAATTCTTCATGTTCCTAACATTTTAACAAAGGGCATTAGTAATAGTCCAAAACATGACAAATGTAATTAGTGCCACTAAGTTGTACATGTGTAAAATGTTGAATTGGAAGATGTTATCTATATTTTTATAAAAATAAAAATTGATCTATTGAGTCAAAATATCTCCTAATTGCTTTCAACTCCAAGTTCTTCTAGTCAGTGCATTTAATTATTCTCCTAAATGTTATTTTTAAATCCTATCATTATAAATCTTTAATTATCTTTGCATCTTCTTGGAGCCTATTTTTATACGGTATGTGGTAGAGGATTATTGCTGTTTTTTGACAGATAACCAAAAGTTCTAACAATATTTGAACAATTTATTGTTCTCCAAATTTTAAAATGCCATATCACAGATTCTATTTATTTCATTATTCTTATATATTCTTCTATACATTATGTAAGTAGATTTAGTGAGTGTTAAATTCTACAATGCCAAATTTCTCTTCACTGTTATTTCTCAAATATTATTTTCCAAATATCTTCTTTATAGTATTGAAAATCAATTTAGTTAGCTTACCCCAATCCTTACATTATACACCAAAAAAAAAGAAGAAATGTTATAATTCTAATTGGAATTCTGATAGGAATTGCCATCAATATGTATATGAATTTAGGCAAGCTTGGCATCTTTATGGTATTGATTTTTTTTTCTTCCATGAATATTGTATGTCTCCCCATTTATTCAGATTTTATTTTATTATCGTGTACAATCATGTTATTTCCTTTATATGGCTTTTATATTTCTGTATATTTAATAAAGTACTTTAAAATATATTACTCAATCCTTAAATTTTATTCCTTAGGTATTTCATAGACTTTTGAAATATAAACAACTCCTGATGCTCCTGGTAATTATCCTTATGGTCTTGAAATAAGGGAAAGTATAAGACAAAGTGCCAGTAAGAGATTGAGTAGGTATCATTCATTTCTATAACTGATGCAACATATTTAACAGGTCAGTAAGAATTTTTAAAATGCAGCTTAGTTAAAATGTGTATGTGTGTTTTACATATCCCCTTCACACAGACTTTTCATCTGGTCCGCTTATCCTCCCCAGTTGTACTGGAAGCTGTGAGTCACTGTGACCAAAATGTGACGCAGAATGATTGTATTCAGTCCTTCATCAGTAGTGACAGAGAAAGTGTCTGCTCATTATCTTTTTAAAATTATATTAGTTGGGGTTTTATATATACATATATCATATCACTCCATGGTTCAGTCACACCAAGTAGAATTGTACAATTGCTACCACAGCCAGTTTCCAAACACTCTTTTTCTACCTGGACTCCTTGATATCATCTCCCTTTTACCCCCCACCCCTATCACTGTACCCCACTGTACCCTCTGAACCCCTTATTGTACTTGCTGTCCCTGTAGTTTCATCAATCCCAAGTTTTGTATAAGTTTGTAACATGAACGAGATGAATCTGGGTGGCTCTGGGCATCATTGAGGCCTGTCTTCTCGGCCTCTCTAGATGTTTTATATGGACCCAGGGGAATGTCAATGGATACCTGCAATTAGAACTTCCCACAAATAAGTGGAAGAGGTTTATTAACAACCTACAGGATGCAGATAACAACATTTTGCTTGCTGAAAGTGAGGAACTATTGAAGCACTTGCTGATGAAAATCAAGGATTATAGCCTTTGGTATAGATGACAACCCAATGCAGGAAGACCCGAATCCTCACAGCTGAACCCATCGGTAACATCATGGCAAATGGAGAAAATCATGAAGCTGTCAAACATTTTGTCTTACTTGGATCCACAATCAATACTCAGGGAAGTAGCCGTCAAGAGATCAAAAGACACATTGCATTAAGTAAATCTGCTGCACAAGAACTCTTTAGAGTATTGACAGCAAGGATGATTCTTAGAGAACTTAGGTGTTCTTGACCAAAGCCATGGTATTCTCCATTGCATCATATGCATGTGAAAGTTGGGCATTGGATAAGGAAGACTTTAGAAGAACAGATGTATTTGAATTATATTAAAAGTACCAGAGACTGCTAAAAATACAAACTGCTCTGTCTTGGAAGAAGTAAGGCCAGAGAGCTCTTTAGAGGCAAGGACAGCAAGACTTCATCTTATATATTCTGGACATATTGTCAGGAGAAACCAGTCCCTGGAGAAGGACATCTTGTTTGGTAAAGCGGAGAGGTGGCAAAAAAGAGGAAGGCCCCTGACAAGATGGGTTAACACGGTGGCTGTCTCAATGGATTCTGGCATAGGAACGATGGTGAGGATGATGCAGGATGGTGCCGTGTTTTGTGCACAGGGTCGCTATGGGTAGGAGCCGACTTGATGGTACTTAACATCAATAGAACAGCACTACAGAACAGCCTTGAAGAGGCTTCTTCTTTCAACATATTTGAGAAGTGGGTTTCCCCCATAATGTTTCTAGCTGGATCAAGGAATTCATTCTTTTATAGAAGGTAGCATGCAACAAATTCCTTCTGTTGTTCCTGAAACAGTGGTCATCTCAGAACTTATTCCATCATTTGGCACTTTAATGGTAGCAAATACTGGCAAAAGGTAAATGTGGTTAATTGAAAGTGGAGAGCTTTGTTCCCTTTTCTCAAGTATGTTTGTAGAGGTGTATTTGCATTTGCGGTTACTGAAAACTTCCTCCCCACAGAAGCCCATCCCTAAATTGTCAGCTGAGCCACATGGCATCTGTGAGAACAGAAGGGCCTTCCTTTGATGTTATCTCTGAGCCATTTCCAACATAATTGTGCACCTGGAAATTTTTTTTTTAAGCCCTAATTTTCCAAAACTACTTTTGTAAGCTCTCTAACTTACAAAAGTTGTTTGGCCTATTGGCCCTGCTCTCTTCTTAAACAAACTTCCCTTTTCCACTTTCTGCTGGGTGTTTTTCAATGACCACTGCCTCGGTAGAAAACACAGTTGCGACCATTTACTTGAGAAAAGTATATGAAAAATCAGACACTGCAAAAGCTATATTAAAATGGTGTTAAAAGAACCCAGGAGATCAAATTACCAAAACAAAACTTTTTAACTGCTGGCCATACCACATGTCTTAAAAGGCAGCTAGGATTTTTGTTGAAGCTGTAACTAGTGTGATAACCAAGGATGGGTCAAGATATTTGCAGAAGGGACTAAGCTCATAGTAACTTCCTCAGGTAAGTCAGATTTTTCCTTTCTTTCCTGTTTTTGCTTCTGGTTTTGAAAACTGACAGATGCTTTCTAGAAAAACAACACAACAACAAGAAGTTAGGATCAAGTGTGTTGTGACTGGCACATTCTTGGCCCAACATATGAACAATGATTTTGGAGCTACTAGTTATTGGATATGGAAGGCAACACATCTGATCTGTAAATTGCTTTTGCCCTTCTCTCTGTCTAGAAAGAATGGAACTTTACTTTTAAAATACACAGAAAAAGAATATTTGAACTGGAAATTAAAATGTTTGAGGATTCTATCTGTAAGCCATAGGTGTAAGTTACTGTTTTAAAATATTATCTTTGTTGGAGAACTTTTAAGTGAAAGGCATAAAAATGGTATTCTTTTAATTACTCTCCCTCTATATTTTGGAATAAAATATGGGACCCTTTCCTTCTGATAATCTTTAAAACCTGGAAGGTTGATTTTGATCCTGTTGGTAACAGTAATTCATAAAAAGTGAATTCTCAAGTGACTATAAAGCATCAATATATTCAAGTTATTACAACTATTGGACCATGGACTGAGATCAGTCAGAATTGTGCTCCTGGCTCTTTTGTTACATGGCCTGGGAAAGTGCCATTTAACTCAATGCATCATTTCAGCTCTGAGCCCACAGTTTTACAGGCTGGCTTGTTTATTCATTCTTTCAGTAGACAGCTATTGAAGACAGTGTGTATGCTTGATACTGTAAATGAAAAGATGAAGAAGACAGAGTTACAGTCCTCAAAATCCTACCAACAAAGTGAATGGGTATTCTTTTGTCTGTAGCTCATAGAATCATAGGAGGTCTTGGGTTCATGAGCTCTTTCCCTTTCATAGTCTGGATAGTAGCTTATTGCTTAAAGGAAACCTGTATTGTGCTGGGTGCAAAAATGTTGATGGAAATGGCAAAATACTATCCCATCAAAACCCATAATATTAGCTATCTGGTGGAGGACCAGACACCATTCTAAAACTTTCTGTCCCTTATCTCTTTCCTCAACAACCCTTTGCAATAGATGCTCTAATTCTCATTGTTCAGCTAAGGAAACTGAAGCTTCATGAAGTTACTTGTCACTTACATGGGATTGCACAAGTGACTGGGATAAAGTTTGTACTCCAATAGAGATTTGTTTACTCTGAAACCCACAGCCTTAGTCATTAGGTGATATTGCAAATATTAAGTCTTTTAGCTTTTATATATTACTTTTTAACATATTACGCTTTTGAACTATGAGCTTTTAAATAGATTCTTTGACTATTTAATTAGTAACAGCTCAAAATTGGTGTTCCTACAAATACATGAAAGCAGTGCTTCTACTTCTAATCAAAGCACTAAAATGACTGCCCTCAAACAAAGATCATCAGTCATATTGAATATGCATTCATTAACTGCTTAAAATATAGTTCGTAGAGTATTACTACATAATGACAAATCACACTGATACCATTCCACTTGGTTTTCTCTCTGTATGGACATCAAATGTGCTAGACATGTTGCCGCTGGCTGGAGCATAGGGCTGTACTGCATCACGTAACTAAACTCTGTCACGCAGAGCTGCCTCTGAGTCCATGATTAGGCAGCAGAAGAAATAGCAGCAAAACAAGACTCTATTATAAGAAGCACAGGATTTTAATTCCTTGCTACATGCTGTAATAGTGTTTTCAAAGAAAAAGAGCAGGCTTTCAACAAAGAACAATACATTGAGAATTCATACTCTGTAATACCTCCTCTGGGGAAGTTATTTTAGAATCCCTTCAGATGTTCACCTTCTAAACATACTAATCACAAAATTCCTGTAACTCATAGAGAATGGGCATTTATTAACTAATCAACAGTATGAGTCCCATGATTTCTCATAGAAAACGAAGCAAGTCTTAATTAACTGTGATGCATTACACTCCTGGAAAAGAAGTGGCTTTTTAAATGAAAAATCTTTACTGAAGTCAGCTTAGGGGATGCCGTCAAAATGATTGAAGAAAAAACAAAAAGGTAAAATAAGACTCTCCGATGCAGGAGATGCAAAAGGAGAACAGCCGTCACGTGAGCATCACAAGCCGGTGGGCAGCCTCCTTCATTACATGGAACTCACATGCTTGATTACCTGCAAATGTGCTGCGACTTTGATTGATCTTTGTTTCATGCTATTTATTTATATAATCATATTTCACATCAATTTATATATTATAAACTTAAGAAATATTGAAATACATTTAAAAGCTCTTTTAAAACAATCACAAAGGGAGATTTCTCTTCTTTTTTCATTGAATCATGTTATTGGGGGCTCATACAGCTCTCATCACAATCCATACATCCATCCATTGTGTCAAGCGCATTTGTACATATGTTGTCATCATCATTCTCAAAACATTTTCTTTCTGCTTGAGCCCTTGGTATCCTCATGTTTTTCCCTCCCTTCACCACCCTCTCTCCCTCATTAACCCTTGATAATTAATAAATTATTATTTTTTTTCATGTCTTACACTGATGTCTAAAGGGAGATTTCTATAAAGGGTTTTCAGGTAGTGGGTTTGTGGATGGCAGTCTTCTCAAAGTGTTTGGCTCTGGAACAAAGCTCATTGTTACAGGTAAACATTCTTTTTTAAAAAACAGCTTTATTGTCACATAATTCACAAACTGTACAAGTCAATAGTTCAATCATTTTAAGAAGAGTTTTACACTCATTGGACTTTCTTTAAGTATTGCATTGTCCATTGAAATGTACTTCCATTGTGTATTGTAATGTGACCAAGGAGACAAGCAGTACAAGCACTACAGAGTAACAGCCCTGAACTGACTAGAATTCTTCCACTTGGTTCCAATTTGGTCATGGATCATGTCAGGGCTGTGGCTGGTCAAGTGCCTAGAGCGGCAGTCTAGTGACCTAGGCCGGAGAATACTAACACAACATATTCCAATAGGGTGGAGACTTATATCCCTGTGGTATTTCTGAGTTAACAGGTTTGTACATATGTTTACATGTTTTATTTCTTTGATTCCAATAGCTACTGATAAATAGTACATAACCATTAATCAAAATGAAAAGAAAACCTGTCAAGCTTACCATTTGGTCAAAGGAAAACTAACTATTTGGTGATGCATTTATAGGACAATTAATATAAAATATAACTTGGTTATATTTTAAATGACAAAATGTGACTTGGTGGCTATACTCAAGAATAGTATAAGCTGTAGTTGTTTATTTCTTTCTAAATTCAGTCCACTAAGTTTTCTTAGTCCTCATTAACCTTAAGGATTAATCTGACCTGGATGAGTAAAATGTCTTATAATAATGCTTCTAGCCTATGAGATCCAGTGAAATGAAAGGCTTTCAATAATTTTCATAAAATTGATAAAATATTCAGAAATAGGAATGGATTGTATATTTTGGTTTCCAAAGAAGTTGAGATTATATGAGAAAAAATAATTCATGAATTGAAAAGCAACCTTCCATTTCTCTTTTTTTTCTAGTTGGCAATATTGACTATGAATTGTAGCAATTAAATTTAGTAATGATGGCTCGGGTATAATGCCCTTAAGAAGTGTTTATGGAGTGCATGTGGCAGGGGAGAGTGTGCGCTTTGACTCTGGTTTATGACTTCTGGGTTTATCACTTCCAGTCCAGCTATTCTTTGACAAGGGAATTTTGATCCATTAGTTATTGGTCTATTAAAAGTATAAACAAAAATCTAGCTTATTTTTTTAAAATGAGAAATACAAAAAAGAAAGAAAAATAATCAGCCTTTATCTCTGATAACACTTTGATATATTTCCCTCTGATTATTTTATCTATGCATACTTCATTTTTATTTTATAAAATTGGGACCATATCAAATGCATAGTACATCTTTTTGTTAACTTCCTTCTGCTCCATGAACACTTTCTCCAAATGACTTTAGCATGATTCAATAAATGAGAAAGTTTTGAACGTCTGAGCTCTATTTGATCTGTAAAATGAAGATAATCATCTATCTCAAATGGATGTTGTGAAAATTTAATGAAATCAAATATGGAAATTACTAACCACAATGGCTGGCACTTGGTGGTGATAAAATTATCCATTCCTTCTCCAAAATTTAAAGGACTATCTATTGGAATTCTTTGTGAACTCAGATATATAGACAAATTGCTAGCAGCTATGATAGTAATAATAATAATAATGATAATCTGCATCTATAGGATGGTAAATGTTTTCTTCTATATCTTGTTTCCTTGTAGTCTTGCATTGGCATTAGGCTGGTAATGTGTGTAATTGATTTACACTAGTATTATTGTTGTCAAATCAATAAAAACACAAAAACTTTAAATAATTTGATTTGTTTAGTCTTAGAATTGATAAGGACAATGAACCAGGACAGGAGTAGTAGTCTTTTGAACTCAGGCAATCATATTGTCACTGGAAATTAAAGAACCAAAAGAAGTTAAGCAATCTAAAGTTTATGATATGGTTTGCATCATTGTGAGATTATGGTGTGAAGCTCTTTGGTGGTGGAACCAAACTTGTCATCACGGGTAGGTATTAAAAGGCTGCAATTTTTCAAGGCAATAGAGGGGAGGAAAGAAAGCATTTACTTGAAATAATAGTAAGAATGTTCAGAAAAATAATGGAGAGATGTGATGAGGTGTAGATGTAGAAATTTTAGGAGGATTTGTAAACACATTCTATTATAAAGGACAGATCAATAGTGCTATATAAATATTGTGACAAGACTTGGTTTGATATACCTATGGCTTCTTTTAGGAAATGCTCCGAGGTATAATGTATGAAATTATACAGAATTTAATCCTGTGACAATGTTGATTAGTACAGGCTAATTCGAAAGTTTCCCTTTTCTGAGAGTCAAATGGTATTTGAAAAGAGCCTGGGTTCGGTGTCAGACTGATTAGAGTCCTAAATTCACTAGTTACTGTTTTGGTGAATGTGCACAGAGATGTACGAACCAGATTCCTAACCCACAAGATGGAACAGCGGTCTGTATCCTGCATGGATGTCTGACCACTGAATGAGATAGTGTGAGTGAAGTGTTTGCCAACTTTCACTCAATGCCACATCAAGGTTGTCCTAATTCAATTGTAAGGGGAGAATTGTCTCCACTGTGGAGAATTCTTTATAACAGTTCCATAGAGATTCGTTGTACTTTTAAATACTCAACTGTAAAGGTGTTTTGCTGTAGCCTCCTAGGGGAAACATAAATGAGGGGATATTTGGCTTAACAGACATTTCCCCACTGGAAAGGAGAGCTAAGGTTAAAATGCATTCACTTCTGTTGTTGTTCTCCTACCTGCTTTACATTTTAATCTTTGTCTTTATTAGTGTTGTCTATAACACCACTATTTATTGGCTTTAAAATGAATAGCTGATGAATTTGAGCTTTATGCTCATATTCATCATAACATGTTTTTTAATTAATACAAACAAAGGTCAGAGTATTCAACCGCTGTGATTTAATTAGGAACTTGCCATATGCCTGAAATGCATATGTAAGTATGAAATAACAGTAAGTACTTATCTGACAAAAGGAAAAGGTTAAGGGGGGAAAGGCAACTTAGATAAATAAGCATAAATAAATAGGAAACACTTGGACAATGTGTAGATTTGAAAAATAAGTATTTATAAATGGAATAGATAGTTTTGTTGTTTTTAACCTGACTATTATTCTATGGCTCATGAAAAAGGTGTTAGTCATGAAAAACACTGTTTATATGCATATTTTTAAAATGTTTTCAAAGTTAAAATGTAATATAGTACTTCCAGATTAGTGCACCAACCATATATAAACATGTACAAACAATTATTAGACTGAGGAAGTTACAGAAATTTAAGAATTTTTCCATTAATGGAATGAAACAGAATTGAAGAGAAGGGAAAGAGTAAATGAAAAGTGTGTTACTGAAAACACAAGTTCATTATTTGATTTTCAATTTTAAGAATATAGAGTCTTGAGACGAGAATTGGATTCCTTAATATTTGTAAATTATGCAAATTTACAAATTATGTAAATAACTATGTAAGAAGTGTCATTAAATATTAATCATTTCATATAGCGGTTTTTAATAAATGAAAAGAAAGTTGGTAGAAATATATACTGTCTTTCTATTACAACTAATAAATATTTACACTAATTAAGATATATGTAATTAAAATAAATACATTTACCCCAATTCTATTTATAGTGATATTTTTTCATTAAAATCAATATTACGTGCTTATCATTTTAATATTAAAATCAGGAGCTTTGTTATTCAGGTAAAAAATACTCAAGATTCATTTTCCTTTTTTAGTCAGAAAAAAATGTTACCCTTAAAAACTGTCAACATTTTATTATTACTATTATGTGTTTATTAAATAAATACACAGCTGACTCAATGGTAATATTAGTTAATTATTTGCATTTCAGTTGGAAAACAAATTAGAAATGTTTCTGATTCATAACTTCAATCACTACATTAATAACACATTTCTAGCAACTAATATTCCTCATTATTTCAAATTACAGGTTTTTGTAAGCATATCATATTTTGTTGTACATTTTGACATTTTGCTGACAGGGCACTGTAGAGCTATAACTTTCCATATTATATACCGGTACATGTACTCAGCAGTTTGAAATAAAACAATGTGACTATAGAATAGTTCAATAGCTAATGTGATAGATACATATTCTGGGAGAAATACTGAGTCAAAATATGGATAGACTGATTTGTAGAGACTATCTCACTGTTGAACTAAATTCATCTTGAAACAATTACCCAAAATACATTATTGGTGTATTACTTATCAGACTTAACATTCCAAACCCTTTGTGAATAGCTTCTAGGGAAAAATATTTTATATAAAACCATTTCTGAGAATATTCAATAAAATCCTTAATAGAAATATTGGAAATATTATTCTTTGGTTTCTAAATTTAGGACATCATAAGTAACTTGGAGATGCAGTTTTAAGATAGCGCTATCAAAAAACCAAGCAGCAATCAATAAATAAAACAATGAATTGCATTGAGTAAATCTATTTCAAAAGATCATTTGAATCTGTTAAAATGTAAAGAGGTCACTTTGAAAAATAAATTCTACCTGACCCAAAACGGGTTCAATCACAGAAATTTCCAATTGCCCCATAAGCGTACAAAAGTTGAACAATAAATAGGGTAGGCCAAAGAATTGTTACCTTTGAATAATAGTGTAGGCAAAGAATGTTACATAATATACCATGGGCTTCCAAAAGCGTGAACAAATCTATTTAGGAAGAAGTACAAGAAGAATGCTCCTTAGAAGTGAGGATGTCGAGATTTTGTCTCGTGCACTTCTGGACAGGGACCAGACCCTAGAAGGATATCGTGCTTGGTCAATTAAAGAGCCAGCAAAAAGAGGAAGACGCTCAATGAGCTAGAGTGATTA